AAAAAAGTTGAAAATGTACATATTGCCTTATAGAATTAGTTATGCCTGAAAACTGAAGGCAAGAATGAATAAAATCCCTGTTCCAGAAAAATACACCCTTTATAATGAATGTTGCTAGTGAACTGTACAATGACATTTTTTCAGAATGATTAAAGTTTGAAACGAATAAAGGTTATTTTGTAAAACCAGACCATCATATACAATATCGATAAAGAGTGTTTGACTTTAACAATGAAATAACTCTACAGTATAATTCACAATGCCTACAGTACCTGGACTGCAGAACCTTTCCTTTGTCTTGTACATAAGAAACCAAGGAGCAACAGTAGTAGAAAACAAAGAACTTAAGCCTTGTCTGAGAACTACTGATGCATATGTTATATTTGTTTCAGTTTTATTTATGAAGTAATGTTTAGCCATAATAAAAAGGAACTTAATACATGGTTGCCTTTCTCATTGGAACTCTAGTTTTGGCAGTCCCTCCAGATCCATGTTATTGCCCTTGTAAGCTGTATAAACAAATCTTATTTCATTAACATATCTCCTGACTGAGGAAATGTCTGGAAGGGTACTTTGTAACACAGTTAATTTTTCAAGTCCTACTTTTGCAGACCATGTGGATCCGGTAGAGAATTAAAGCAGAGATTCGTGTGAACATTTACCGATTTCGGAATAAGTGATGCATCTTCTAAATGTGGCTCTTCAGTGTGTTTTTGCCATGATCGTTTGTCCAAAATTGTTTTTAATAATCCAGTTTTGCACAAGTTCATACATTAGGAGAATATAAAAATTCTCCTTCTGTACAGATGAATATGACACTAACTAAATTGATCACTTGATGCCACATTTTCAAATTTAGTTAGGCTGAAGATGACCTGCTGCTTGTTCTGCAAATGTAAAGTCTGAAAGGGCTCTTCGTGCGAGCACTCATAGGCTGTAACAGCCTGCTGAAGTAATGCCCTTATGTTCATTCCTGCTCTGTTGATCCCAATCCGTTTTCCACCTTGTTAAGAACAGACGTTAAAGTACCTTGGTGGGATCACAAAGGAATGCTTGTTTGTCCTTTGCTTTTGAAAGTGGGACTATGAGCAGTACTTAAAACATGCTTCCTTCTAAATATAGATAACGCTGCAGGACTTTTTTGTTAATATGAGTAGCCGTCGGCTGGGGTTGAAGGAGTTTCATCATCTTCTGTTGATCCTTTTTTTTTGCCAATCACATTATTCTTTAACAAAGTCAATTATTTTCACACTAACAGAGGCTGCAACATCATTGTTTATAACTGTATGCACATCAAGACAGATTGGGAGCCTCCTTGTCTCATACTGCACACAATCACGCTATGGAAAGGTTTTACAATAGATGACCCAGCGAATATATTCCGTTTCACAATGTGATGGAATCCCCGAGTAGTACAAGTGCATTTTTTTAAAAGAAAAACTGAAGTGACATGGAGTAGTTCTGTTTGATGTTGGTACAATTATAATTCAAATGTATGTATTGAACATCATCTGGGGAAGTTAATTCATTGCAGTAAAAAAATGTTTGGTATAAATACTGCTTCAGTTGGCATTTGTGTGTTAAAAAATAGTATCTTTGGCTATACTATTGTACTATTTTGCATTCCTTTACTTTTTTGTCTCAAAGGTATTACCAGTTGTCTGTCTTCATTGGCTTCTACATATTATATTATGGAGTGCATTAGGTTCTTTTGGTTTCTGAGACCAGTACAGTGCTTTTTAAACCTTGTAAGCAATGTTCGAATAGATTGCTTTTTTTTTGTCTATTAACTTTCTTAAGAATTACTATATGCATATGACCTGTAGTTTGGGCTACTGAGAAATTAGGATGCTGCTGTTACTAAAAATGTCGGACTATAAAGGTTTATCATAAACATGTTAACAGAACTAAGAATTTGAGAGTTAATTCAACAAGGTTTAAAGTAAATACCTTCATGATTGTGTAGTGAACAGCAAAGTCAGTAACTGAAGAGAAGATTTTCTGTACCTGCACTGATTGCTTTTGTTGGTTGTTTTTAAATGTGGATAAAAGTTTGCAGACACTTCTGAAAATGAAATACAGCATTTGTAACACAAAGTATTAATGATATTGATAAATATAAGGTAGGAAATAACATTATGGCATAATTTTGTGTCTCCCATTTTGCATCCCTGTTTGTTTGGTGGGTAGCAGGCAAAATTTGAGTTTTGATCATTTGTATTCCTTTTGTGCCACAAAACAATTTACCAAACTGTTTTTTTCTTGAAAATTAAATCTCCTGCCTACAATTTCATAAACCCTGTGAACTTCTGACTGTGGCTCTTAGCACTCGAACACTTTAATGTTCAGCCATTGATCTGAACATGGTATGATTTATTTTTTAATACCTATCCTCTGTAAAACCTATTTTCCAGATAACCCCTGGTGACCTAAAGGTAAGGCACTATATAAGCTTCTTCCTGAAACACAGCTGTTTTTTAAATCTGCCGTTTCAGTTCTTTAGATTTTTATGGAATGATAAAGAACCTGATGAGCCTTTGTTTTTATATATAAAATGAATCACAGGTCCTTGGAATAAACATTTTTTCCAAGGTCTAGCTGTACCATTCTTGCCTGAGGTTTGAGTACTCTGCTTGTAAAGCCAGTGTCTGTCTCCTAACTCTGGAATTAACAATCCATGCTGTTTTCAACTGGACTCACATTTTATTAATAAATAATAAAATAACTCACTCCAGCATGGTCTTATTTTTATTTTCTTTGTGTAGGTGTATTTCACTTTTGGATATAAAATCAGCCTGTTATTGTTAAATACATATGAATGCAAAGCTAAAATAAGTGTACCATTTATGAGGTATTTTTTATCATTTTGTGGGAGTGAAACCTTGAAAAGTTGATGCCTGCTTTACTTTTAAACACGTGGAATGTGTCGAGCATTATGATGGAATGTCTATGTATTAACACTTTTAAACATTATCAATGTGCATTCTTAGAGTGTTTCGTTTTTAAGAAATGCATTACATGCACGAGTATTTAGTTTTAGGCAGTGCTGATACTGGATAGTAATGCTTGCTGACCGTTGCTATAGAACATTTTGCTGGTAGTGCTTTTTTTCTAGAGAAGGCCTTTCTGTCCATCTGGATAGTTTGGTAATGATCCTATGATCTGATGTAGCTGTTTCTTGAAAGCAGTCAGGGTATTGGTTTTAATATGGTTTGGTAGCTTGTTCCATGCTCCTACAGCTCTTTGCATAAAGATGGCCCTCCTGTCCTCAGTTTTCGTTGCACTCCCACCTACTAAATTGTATTTAATGTTTTTGCTACAAAGGGTTAAAATAAGAAGAGGTCATGTGGGCCATTTTGCTCATTAGGTTGTTCGTAGTTTAACATTCCGAGAATACTATCTCTTTTTCAAAGCATCCCACGCAGTCAGCTTCACCCATATGACATTGGAGTTGATTTCAGACTCCTAAA